TAAAAATGCACCATTTTCCTAACATTCCCCCCTTTTGTTTTTTATAAAGCAGGAGTTGTATGGAATTACTTTAGTCCAAAAGTCTAGGAGGGGTAGAGGGACGATGAAATCATTATATGTTAAAAAAAAGTTGTGATTTATCTGTTATCTATCATAAATAATTCAGATTATAAGGATCAGTAGCTCACAGATTAAAAATTTCTGTTCTAAAAGTAACCAAGTTTGTATTAAGATGGCTGAGTATGGAGGGAGCTTGCAGCTCAATTCTAGGAGAAGATAGTTTTAAAAAAGTAGAAAGAGTGCTGTCTCAGGGAAGAGTTAGGGAGAAAGCAGCTGAGGAAACTCTACACAAATTGAAGGAACACAATGGACCTACGTGGAGGACAAGGATGCACACAATTTAGGACTCCAGCAGCCAAGAGCCTCCACACCAGCATTGAAGAGTGAGGTGAGACCAGAGTGCAGCAGCTTAGTCCACTGGTGAAAAAGCTGCAGGGAGAACCTACATGGAATCCAGCTTGGAGCCCCATGAGAGATAGTGTACCTGCCAAACTAGAAAAGCAAAAACAAAAGGAGGGTACATTTTCTCTCTCCCTGATGATCCTAAAAAGATGTCCTGTAACAAGCTGACAGAGAGCAGGCACCATTTTGGACATACGTAACAGGTGCGTCAGCTCATGTCCGCGCCAAGCAACTAGCCAAGCAGAGAATCCTGAGTTTGGCAGGGAGAATAGACAGGGGCTAGGTTCTCAGGACTGTGGGAGGCTTTTGTGCTAGGACTGTGAAAACACTGAGGCTGTGTGGGAGGACTCAAGGTGTGGCTGGGACTTTGGGAAGTCACTATGGGAGGCTACACACGATCAGGGCAAGAGACATTGCTCGGGAATCTGAGCTTACACTGAGGACTGCATAGAATATTTGTGTGGTCCTTGTGGCAGAGTGGACCAATAATATACACACTGTGGCTAGTGCACAGGCACTGGTCTCCTTTGAGGAGAGGAGCTCAGTTGAGTCTATGCCAACAGACAAGAACATACTCCCCCTCTGAATTAAAAAAAAAAAAAAAAAAGAGATCTACCCTACCAAACCTGGGTGTGTCAGCTCAGACACGCCTTCCATGCTGGAGAAAGGAACAGAGCTCCCTGGCCACACCCACCACACACCTCTAAGTATGCACTGAAAGCAGATACTCCACTAATTACAGTAGCATAATACCAACATAAAACCCACCACAGCGAAAAAACAAACCAGAGTACCTTCACAAATGCTGAGTAACAAATGCACCAATTCAAGAAACAAGAATAAGGAAGACAACATGAGACTTCCAAAAGAACACAACATTTCAGTACTGGATTGTGAAGATGATGAGATGGAAGAAATGCCAGAAATTGAATTCAAAACATTGTCCATAGGATTACTTAGAAGTAATCAGAATCAAATGAATGAGCTAATGAAATCCAAACATGATATGAAAGAAAATTTCTCCCATGAAATTGAGATCTTAAAGAGAAAGCAAAATTAAATCTTGGAAATGAAGAAATCAATAGAAAAAAATTTAAAAAATGCAGTGGAAAGCCTTAACAGCAGAATCAGTGAAGCAGAAGAAAGAATATTTGACTAGATGACAAAGCACAGGAAATTATACAGTCAGACCAAACACAAGAAGAAGAAATTAGAATACTAAAAAACACTATAGGGAATCTACAGGATACTTTCAAATGAGATACTTTCAAATGATACAGGTTCTAGGAGTTTCTGAAGGTGTGGAAAGATAGAAAGGATTAGAGGCCTTTTTAATGAAAAAAATAACAGAAACATTCCCCAATTTGGAGAAAGAAAGGGACATCCAAGTACAGGAAGCGCACAGGATTCACAGTGGACTTCTTATCAGAAACCCTATAAGCTAGAGGAGAATGGCAAGATATATTCCAAGCATTAAGAGAAAAAAACTGTCAACCCAGAATATCATGCCTTGGAAAACTCACATTTATGAATGAAGGTGAAATAAAGAACTTCCATGACAAACAGAAACTGAAAGAATTTGTCATGACCCATCCAGCCCAGCAGAAGATGCTTAAGGATGTACTGCACACAGAAACACTAAAACATGATAATCACTACCAAAGAAGGCAAAGGAAAGAAATCCACCAGTAAAACTACAAAGGAAGGCTGGCACCGCAGCTCACTAGGCTAATCCTCCGCCTGCATTGCCGGGTTTTAGTTCTGGTTGAGGTGCCAGATTTTGTCCTGATTGCTCCTCTTCCAGTCCAGCTCTCTGCTGTGGCCCGGGAAGGCAGTGGAGGATGGCCCAAGTGCTTGGGCCCTGCACCCACATGGGAGACCAGGAGGAAGCACTTGGCTCCTGGCTTAAGATCAGTGCAGCACGCCAGCCGTAGCGGCAGTTTGGGGGGTGAACCAATGGACCAATTGAAGGAAGACCTTTCTGTCTGTCTGTCTCTCTCACTGTCTAACTCTGCCTGTCAAAAAAAAAAAAAAAAAAAACTACAAAGGAAGCCCAAAGTAAAAAATAGGAATATTTATGGAAAAATGGCAGGGCAAAGTTGTTATTTATAGCTACCTTGAATGTAAATGGCCTTAACTATCCAGTTAAAAGATAGATTGGCTGAATGGATTAAAAAACAAAACCCAGACATTTGCCACCTACAAAAAACACATCTCCCGAATAAAGATACATGCACACTAAAAGTGAAAGGATGGAAAAAAATACTGCATGCTAACAGAAACCAAAAAAGAGATGGTGTAGCTATCCTAATATAAGACAAAATAGACTTTAACACAAAAATTGTTAAAGGAGACAAAGAAAGACTTTACGTAATGACTAAGGGATCAATTCAACAGTAAGATATAACTATTATAAACATATATGCACCTAATTACAGGGCACCTGACTATTTAAGAGAAATCTTAAAGGATCTAAAGGGAGACATAGACTCAAATACAATAGTAATGGGGGATTTCAATATCCCACTTCAGCAATGGACAGATCAACCAGACATTAAATTAGCAAGGAGTCAGCAGAGTTAATCAACACTACAGAACAAATGGGGTCTAACAAATATCTATAGAACTTTATAATCTGCAATTGTGGAATACACATTCTTCTCAGCAGTGCATGGAACCTTCTCTAGGACTGACCACAGACTAGGTCATAAAGCAAGACTCAGTAAATTCAAAAAAATTTAAACCATACCATTCATCTTCTTGGACTACAATGCAATGAAGACGGAAATCAGCAACTCAGGAATCTCTAGAACATATACAAAGTATGGAGACCAAACAACATGCTCCTGAATGAACAGTGGGTTAAAGAAGAAATCAAAAAAGAAGTAAAAAAATTTCTGGAAACAAATGAAGATGACAATACAACATGTCAAAACTTATGGGATACAGCAAAAGCAGTGTTAAGAGGAAAGTTTATATCAATAGGTGCCCACATCAAGAAATTGGAAAGGCACCAAATAAATTAGCTATCAATGTATCTCAAGGATCTAGAAAAACAACAGCAAATCAAACCCAAAACTAGTTGGAGAAAAGAAATAATTAAAATTAGAGAATAAATCAACAAAATTGAAACAAAAAAAAAAGCACAAAAGATCAGCAAAATGAAGAGTTGGTTTTTTGAAAAAATAAACAAAATTGATACACCATTGACCCAACTCACCCAAAAAAGGAGAGAGAAGACGCAAATCAACAAAATTTAGAGATGAAAAAGGAAATGTAACAACAGACACCACAAAAATGAAAAAATCATCAGAAATTACTGCAATCAGCTGCTTACCAAAAAACTGGGCAACCTAGAAGAAATGGATACATTCCTGGACACATACAACCTACCCAAATCAAGCCATGAAGACACAGAAAACCTTAGCAGATCCATTACCAGCAGAAATTGAATAAGTAATAAAGACCCTCCCAACACAGAAAAGTCCAGGACCAGATGGCTTCACTGCTGAATTCTATCAGACATTTAAAGAAAAATGAACTCCACTTCTTCTCAAGTTATTCAAAACAATTGAAAGGGAGGGAATCCTCCCAAACTCCTTCTATGAAGCCTGCATCACCTTAATTCCTAAACTTGGAAAAGATGCAGCAAAGAAAGAGAACTACAAACCAGTTTCTCTGATGAACATAGACACAAAAATCCTCAACAAAATTCTGGCCAATCAAATCCAATAGTACATTAGAAAGATCATTCACCCAGACCAAGTGGGATTTATCCCTGGTATGCAAGGATGGTTCAACATTTGCAAATCAAGCATTGTGATACAACACATTAACAAACTGAACAAAAACCATATGATTATCTCAATAGATGCAGACAAGGTATTTGATAAATACAACACCCTTTCATGATGAAAACTCTAAGCAAATCAAAATCACAATGAGGTTTCACCTCACCCCGGTTAGAATGGCTCACATACAGAATTCTACCAACAACAGATGCTGGCGAGGATGTGGGGAAAAAGGGACACTAACCCACTGTTGGTGGGAATGCAAACTGGTTAAGCCAGTATGGAAGTCAGTCTGGAGATTCCTCAGAAACCTGAATATAACCCTACCGTTCGACCCAGCCATCCCACTCCTTGGAATTTACCCAAAGGAGTTTAAATTGGCAAACAAAAAAGCGGTCTGCACCCTAATGTTTACTGCAGCACAATTCACAATAGCCAAGACCTGGAACCAACTTAAATGCCCATCAACGGTAGACTGGATAAAGAAATTATGGGATATGTATTCTTTAGAATACTATACTGCAGTAAGAAACAACGAAATCCAGTCATTTGCAACAAAATGGAGGAATCTGGAACACATCATGCTGAGTGAAGTAAGCCAGTTCAAAGGGACAA